TTTCTCTCTCTCTCTCTCTCTCTCTCTCTCTCTCTCTCTCTCTCTCTCTCTCTCCCCTCTCCTCTCTCTCATAGTCAACATGGCTGTTCTCTATTTGAAACATTCTATTCCCTTCACTTCAGTGACAACTATATCTTGTTTCTTTGATGATTTCCCAGAAAACACCCAGACTTCTGGCTGTGTTTCTACCAGCGTTCTCTAAATCGTGGGCTCCACAGTCCATTGGCCATGAGGCAGTGGTTTTCTTCAAGACTGGGTTGTGTGCCTTTGTGCCTCTCAATGCTGTACTATTTCCTAGGCCATTTTGGTTTTGGAAGCTGTGCTTATATTTATTTGCCAATGACCATAACAACTTACAGATTACCCAGAGTTCCCAGTGAGAAACATCAAGTAATGCTTGTATCTGACTGCTAAACAATACTTTTACGTAGGTGTCTAAGAGGCTCCTTAAACTCAACTCCAGAATGGATCTGATGAAGTTCTTCAAATAGGATCACCATTCATCAGATATAGAGATTCAGAATCCAGAGTTTACTCACATGCAAAACCTTTGGGATACCATGAGAAGGCAAAGCTTTTGACTTATGGGCATAGAAGGAGAATTCATAGCAAGGACATAAAAATATTTTCAATGAAGTCATAGAAGAAAATTTCCCAAATCCAGGGAAAAAGCAGCTTATCCAGATGCAAGCAGCACACAGAACACTAAATAGACAAGACCAGAAAAGAAACACCCTGGGTCCAGTCATTAAAACATACAAATTACATAAAAAAGAGGGACAGGCAAAGTTACGCATGAAGGTGGGACACTCAAAATAGGTGTTGATTTTCCAGTGGAAACCTTAAAAGCCAGAACGACTTGGAAAGCATTTCACATTCTGGGAGAGCATAGCTACTAACCCAGGGCCACTCCTGGTTCTCATTTCTGGCCTTCATACATCATATAATGTGTACTTTTCCATATGTCATCAATTATCTTTCAAATCTGTAATTACATTACATGCCATTTGTCAATAATGTCTTTTATATATTGAGTCTTTTCCCACACCATTAAATATCCTTGAAACATGACACTTTCATACATGTAATGCATTCTGGTCACGCTCATCCCTGAAACATGGGTTTTAGTGGGTGTTTGATGTTCCATTCTCTGTCACTGTAATGTATTTAGGACTTACAGTTTCTAGGAGTCTGATAGAGTGAGATTGCCTCACCTTTGGTGTTTGTCAGAGGCTAAATGGAAGAAGTGGGGTGGAGAGCACACAGATGTGAGATCCAGGCTTCATGACACATGAGCTGAGTTGGGGCTGTAAATCATTTAACCTGTGTGTATTTGTGCCCCCTGTGTGAAATATAGGATAAAAAAAATGTTCTCTGGGCTGGAGAGATGGCTCAGCAGTTAAGAGCACTGGTTGTTCTTGGAGAAGACCTGGGTTCGAATCCCAGCGCCCACATGGCAGCTAACAACTGTCCATAACTTCAGTCCAAGGGGATCCAACAGCCTCTTCTGACCTCCATGGCATTGCACGGCACGGGTGCACTTACCTACATGCAGGCAACACACACATACACATAAAATAAAAGTAATAAATAAAAATTTTAAAAAGTTCTCATTCATGAAATGCTCTAAGTGTGAGTACCTTCATTTAGAACTGACTATGGGATATTTGGTGAACTGCAAACTCCACTTCAACTTTGAAAATGACTCATTGATTTCTAGAATAATGTAGCTTTTTACCAAAGAACTGAATATTTTGCTTTTCATAGTGGCAGAATGAATACCTTTTGAAGAAATGCGCACAGGAGAGTGCACAAACCATTTGAGTGTGTGTGTGTGTGTGCGTGTGTGTGTGTGTGTGTGTGTGTGTGTTTTGAATGATACCTTCTTGTGCTACAGAAAACTAGCAACAACTAGCATAACAGAACTGTTTTTTGAATGAACAGCCTCCAGTAGTTTAAAAGACATTTCCCACTGGGATTTGGTATCTTTATCTATGTCACCCCAATGGGTGAGACTTCTCTAGTGATGGAGGGGCACCCAGGCCACTGCTGAATGGAATATGTGCATGGTAACATCTCTCAAAGCTCTTAATCTTCTCGTTCTTGTCCAGCTTTCCTGAGACATCTCCGCAGTTGCTCACAGAAAGTGTCCCAAGCCACCTTCCCTTGGGACAAATCAAAGTAGTCCTCCTTCTGGAGCCATCGGGAGAGGCGGTGGTAGCTGTGGAGCTTCTGCCTATCAATGGGCTCCAGAAAGAGCAGCAGGAGGCGAGTTGTCCCAGGCCTGGCTATCAAGTAGTAGGTGGCAAGCCTTAACTCCAAATTGCACCAGGGACTTGCCAGGGCCTGGCCAGTGAGCACACAGAGGGTGGCTCTGCTGCTGCCCATGCTGGAAACCAGGGCATCCATCCTGTCCTGCCCGACCACAAAATCCCTCACAGGCAGGCAGAGCCTCAAGCCCTGACCTTCAGGAGGGGGATTCTCTAAAGCAGGAACCAGCTCTTCCAGCACCCAAGCTTGGTCCGGTTCACAACAGGATATAAAGACGTCATAGTGGAATTGGCCTCTGAAACCACGGCCACATATTTTCCACCAACAAGCATAAAAAAATGTATAGAGTTGATGAAGCCAAGGCCAGCGGTGACAGCCGAGCAGCGCAAGGGTCATCAGCAAGAGCACCAGAGTGAAACTGCTGAGAAAGGCCCACAACTCAGGGTCACGTGGGCAGTGCTGAGAAAAGAAGGTGAACAGGAGAGTTTTGGAGTAATCAGAGGTATTGGCCATGCAGACCGATTTCTCCAGCCCATACACAAAGGAGTTTGGGACCTGTGTAGCCCAAGGCTCCACCCAAGAGCTTTCACACTGGCAGATGAAGGTGGCATCTGAGAAATAAACATACTGAGGCATTTGAGGAATGAACTCCTCCAGGCTGCTGTCCAACTCCAGGGCCCTTTCAGAGCTCAGCAGCAGCAGCCGAAGGTGGCTCAGGCCCCTGAGGCTGGCTCTAGACAGGTTCCTGAGATTCATGTGGCTCAGTGCCAGTACCTGTAACTGTGGCACCTCCTTCAGTAGTGTCTCCAGCTTCGTCGTACTTGACTCATAGAAGAAGTTAAGGTCCCCCAGCTCTAGCACACGTAGCCTGGGCATCTCAAATAGGTGGAGGTCTACTGCTTCGTCATTGTCGCACCAGAAGGAGAACTGCTCCAGGAGAGGAAGCTGCTGCGGGAAGAACCTCTGGGGTTGAAAGAACAGGCTGAGGCCTCGCAGAGTGAGGCATCGCAGAGAAGGGAAATGAAATGTGGTGTTGTCTGGCTTCAGTATCAGCCAGTTGGCCTGTAAGGTAAGGTTCTCCAAAAACAAGAAGGGCTCTCCACTGAGCACAGTAAACTGGACACTCACTGTTACCTGTATTTCTAGACTGAGCAGTGTTGGAGGCCAGGGAGGATAGATGTCCAGCATCGTAAGAGAACCCAATTGTAGGTGGCTCAGCCTCTGGGGACCTTGGAGTTGCTTGCCTGAGATAGACTCCAAATAGGTACCAAGAAGGTTCAAGGAAGTGAGAGCAGGAAGAGGGGAGAGCCAGCCTGGTTTTAACACTTTAATTTGGTTCCAGTTCAGGTCTAGAGTCTTTAGCCACCTCAGTCCCTGCAGGCTGTCACTGGATAAACTGGAGATGTTGTTGCCACTCAGCCAGAGCTCCTGGAGATGTGGAAGAAAAGAGAAGGCCCCAGAGGGGAGAGCACAGAGCTGATTATGGGACAGATCTAGCACTCTCAAGTTTGTGCTAATCAGTCCTTCTGGAAGAGCCAAGGTTAGGCCCAGCTTATTCACAGACAGGTTGAGGCTCTGAAGTTGGGGCAGAGCACTCAGGAACGTGATGGGAATTGACTGCAGGTTATTATCGTGAAGGCTGAGGAATTCAAGGGAACTGTGGCTTGGGAGATCTCCCTTCTCTATGTTCTGGATTTGGTTCCTTCCAAGGTCAAGGGCATGAAGGTCAAAGTAGCCAGTTACATTCTCAGGCAGTTTTTCTATACCTTTACCTTCAAGGGAGAGGAAGTCCAAGTGGAGCACTCCCGAGTGCAGGACATCCAGTGTACTCAGTGGAGTGCCATCCAGTATCAGGGAATGAAGCTTGAGTCCCTGCAGGGCTCTGGCACCTGCCTGGTTCAGCTGAAGGTTGTAAGACAAATCCAGTACCTCTAGGAAGGGCACCCATGATCTGGTAGTGGGTGTTAGAGAGGGGCCAGGCGCGAGGTTGGGGAAAACCCTTTGCAGCTCCTGCAATTGGATCAGACAGCTGTGTCTCAGAGTCAGATGCCTGAGGCTGACTGGCAAGTAGATGCTTTGGCTATAATTCAGGCAGTAGCCTTGAAAGGAAAGGCTACTGAGGAATCTGAGAGGTTCCAGAACATTTGGAGGGAGGAGCAGACTCAGGCAACAGGGAGCATGATGTTCAAAAAAAAGATGTTGTAGGTGGTCCAGTCCTTCAAAAGCCTTGGAAGTAATATTGAGGGTGCCCAACTGCAGTCTCAGAAGCTTCAGGGAGGGGAAATGACCAAAGGCATTATCCTGCAGAGTAGGAACCGTGCCCTGGAGGCAAAGCACCTCTGTATCCAAGGGCACTCTTTCCAAGGTCTGAGCCAAGTCTTTAACATTGGAGCAAGATGCCAAAAGGCGTAGTCCTGGGTTCAAGGTGCAAAATGGGATGTAGTAAGAGAGGTTGGGAAAGAGTGAGCTGTCTGCTATGATGCAGTCAGGGACAGTCCATGCCCAGCTGGTCAAGTCAAGGCTCACCAAGGCCAGCAGTATAAGAAGAGCAGAAGAGAATCGAAGCCTCTCCATCCTTGGCATGGACTCTGGAGAAAGAGAAGGAAAGAATGGGGTAATAAATCCTGCCCTGATGAGCAAAGCCAACCCAGAGCCTTCTACCATACATCACATCCTTGGGATCTGAGGACATAGTGGGAAAATCCTCATGAGTGGGACATGAATGACTCATTGCCAAGTCGGACCCTCAAGCTGTGCTCACTGAGGTATGACTCCATGGTGGTAGAAAGCCAGAGGAAGCAGAAACAAAGAGCAGGAAGAGCCAGAGAAGCCCTGGAACTTCTTAGTCTTCCTGCTGGAATGACAGGCTCAGGTTACTGAATTCTTCTGAGGAAGCCCTCAATCCAAGATGAAGCCGTGAATTTACTTGATCAATAGACAGTGGATTGGAGGAGGGCACAGTGCTGACGACGTACATGGTCTTGAACATGACCCTGGCCGAGTGACATAAGTGAGTTGTCAACCTTGTTGACTCATGAGGCAGTGAAGCTAAGTTACTGGATTTGGTCAAGAAATAGGAAGAGCCAGACTGAAAACTGTCCAGGTTTTTTCCAACCAGGGTTAGTGTCTCTAATGACCAGGCCTTAGGCAGGAGACATTTCAAGTGATTTTCAGCGTTCTGTTTACCGGAAACAGAACGTATCAAAAGATAGTTCAGGCAAAAGATCAAAGAAGTAGATGAATCAAGTAGGGAAATGAAATAAAAAGAGTCAGAGAAAAGCATGCTTTGATACCTTTGAGTTTAGAGCCTGGTGCTAGGGGACGAGTTTGAGTTGACTACCTTCTCACTATTTATTCCTCCGTCATGGAAAGGCTCCAAATGACCATTGTGGAATGCACACATTTCATAAAGATCCTGCGAAGCTGGAAAGAGACAGGGAGAGCAACCTGTGCTCCGGGGATGGTGGACACGAGTTAGTCACAGGTGAAGGGCACTGTCCTCCTCAGTGCCTCATGCCCTTGGGCGGAGGATTAGCATTGAACACCAGGGGCTTTTCTGCTTCCCTTTAGTCATGGTTTGGGCTGAGTGATTCCAAGCTGGCCCTAGAAGCACTGAGCAACCTTTCCTCCAGCCTGTCCTCTCACCACATAAGCATCACCACTTGAGCCTCACCTGTCAGTGAAGTTCACGGGAGGCCAGAGTAGAAGGGCCCGGGACTCAACCATCTGGCCAGCCTTGTACATAACTTGGTCACCTGATCTGCGTCTCGCTATCCCATGGCTAATCTCCTGCCTTTTGGAAAGGCCCCTTCTCGAGCTTTGATGGTCACATTGTGTGCTCTGCTAATCTTATATTTCCTTCTTTATTTTATTTCATCTAGAATGATGTCAGGAGCGGAACAGATCTCAGAGCAAGAAGACGCATTGGTCTTGGGACAGAGAGCCCAGCACTGTTGGTGTATGTTCTACAGGGCAGGTTCTGTCTTCAGATCAGGATTGATGTTACTACCCCGAGGCATGTATAGAATGTCTGTGAAGGACGGCACCTCCGTCTTCATTTAAACTGTGGCAAGCCTTAACCCAAATGCCTGTCAAGCTCTGCCTGGTCCTGGCTGTCCTTGGCCTCTGGCTCCCTCTGAAGAGAGGCCAGGGCTCTGGGTTTTGCTTTCCTCTCTGTGGGCTCCACTGATTACTCATCTGCCTTGTCCACACAAGTCCTGAAACATTAAGACGGGCATCCCTTACCTTTGAGCAAGAAATGGAGGGCGGTGGAGACAGAGCTGAAATTTCAGGAAGAGTTCTCCTCTCCTGTAGCAAAGAGGGAAAAGCTCTGTCTTCTGTGATTCCTTCCTCCACAGTGGCCCCTGTTCCTCCACACTGAAGTGCAGGGCTGCTGCTGTTACTGACAGGTGGGAAGCTCTAAGGAGGGAGGAGAGTGCTTAGTTAGCCTCTTAACTAACCCCAACCAGCCTCCTCTTCTTTCCCAAAGCCCTTGTCCATTTCAAGACTTCCTCTTTACAGTATCGTTTGTGAGTTTTAGTTTTCACTTTGTATCACATCCTCCCAACATCTGAAAGAGCCAGAGCTTTCTCTCTTAAGAGAGGCTCATGGTCTCTACCTTTATCTCCTTTCCCCTTGTCCCCAGACTGCTACCAGAAGGGTCTCAGAGTGTGCTGTGACACAGTGTCCAGGTTCTCTAGTCTCACTGAATTGAGAAAGACACAGGGTAGCAATATTGAAAGCAGGTGAAAGCTCAAACTGTGCTCCACAAGCAAGCATGCAGCTGGAAGTCCCTGATAAGGATTAAGGTGATTTATTACTGAAAAGCAGTGAGGAGTTCTCTGGAGCGAGGTATCTTTGGCTGCTAGGGGTGACTGGGCTTGGATTGTACAATCCTCAGAACCACTCAAGATAGTCCAAGTGATGGCCTTCCTCAGCTGCTGGGTCCTGGAGTTAAACAGTCATACAAGTCCAAGTCCCACTCTCTCTTCTGATTCACCAATTGTCTCAGTTTCTCTCTCCCCCGCCATGTGTGTGCTGGTGTGTCCTGCATTCATGTGGGCACCTGTGTGAATGTCAGTGGACAACCTTGGGAGTTGACAAGACACCGTTCACTTGTTTCAATCGACCTCTTTGCTGTTTCTTCTCACTGAGTGCCAGGCTAGCTGCTTCCCTAGCTTCCTGGGTCTCCTTTTATTCATAACACAGAAAATGGCCTCTGCTGTCCATGGATACAGACATGAGCAGTTGATAAGGCAGCAAGAGCAGGTTATGGCAGAGGAGTTAAGTCTCCCCTGTAACCAGTCTCTGTCAGCCAGGGAAGGGACCAGTTGGCAAGGCCTGATCAAACACCAAGCTGCCAATTTGGGCCATCTGGCTACCTTGAGGAATTTGTGTCTTTATGGCTTCCTTTAAGGAAGATTATGACTCTCCAGACCCTGGGGGCATATAGAAAAAGAAAGGAAGGGGTAGGGTGGGAACAGGGAAGTGGGATTTCTCTTTTTGAGGCTTGGAGAGGCTGGTACTCCTCAGTCAGGAATAACGGGGTCAGGGTGGAGGAGTTGAGGGCCTGTATTCTTTGCAAGTGCATCAAAATGATATTTATTTCTTTTTTTTTCAATGCTACTAAAAGAGAAAATCTTGTGGTAGAAAATCTTCCCATTTAAATTTATTAAGCTAACAGATCGTATGCTCTGCTTAATGTATTTACCCTTGCCGTAAGCTTTAGTTTTGAATGCATATATTTGATTTTTACAAATTAATTTTATTTTGTGAGAGATTAGTTGTAATTGAGGGAAAATTCAATGTTTGTGAATGTAACAATCATTTGAAGACATCTTGTAAACTCATGACTTATATTTGAATATAGAAAGTGCTGATTGTCTCATTTTTGTTTCTCCTGAAGGAAACCACCAACCAACACAGTTATTCTTAAAAGTAACCTTGTGTGTCTTTGGAAAGTCTAAATGTTCAGGGTGGGATGGGGCCACAGCACCATCTTTTCTTACTATAACTAGTATTCACTTTCTCTCCCTCCTTGGGTTGCAGTTTGGGTTGGAAAAATATCCCAGTGCAAGTTGTAGTGTAAATAACTTAGTACTAAGGAAAGGCTTTGAACCAAGGATTATATTGGAGTCATATGTGGAGGCCAAACATTTTACCTTAAAAACCTGTGACAGAGGGTTTTGACCTTGTGGTGGAATGGCTGCCTATCTTGACCACTTGTTCTTGAGCTCCTTGGTGGTCAGTCTCAGGAAACTTAAATACACACCCAGGAAGTAGTGTGGAGACAGGAATCATCATTCTTGAGCTGTATGAAGTAAGAGATATATGGCAGAGTTTTCACAGCTAAGAGGAGCTTGACAATTTCTTACATGAAAAGAAAAAACCATCTTCTTATCAAGAATGTTTATGTTAAAATGTACTATCGAATTATGAACTGAATATTGAGAACTGAATAGTCATTGTGCTGGATAGCTTTAGTGTCAACCTGACACACCTGGGTTGAGGGAGCCTCAGTTGGGGAACTGCCTTCATTGGACTGGCCTGTGGCCATGTCCGTGGGGCACTTTCTTGATTGTTGAGTGATGTGGGAGGGCCCAGCCAACTGTGGGTGGTGCCATCCCTAGGCAGGTGGGCCTGTGTTACATAAGAAAGCAGGCTGAGCAGCGGCCAGGAGAGCAAGCCAGTAAGCAATGTTCCTCCATGGCCTGTGCTCCAGCTCCTGCCTCCAGGCTCCTGCCCTGAGTTCCTACCTTGGGCTCCCTGATGAACTGTGACCTGGGAGATGTAAGACAAATAAATCCTTTCCTCCCCAAGTTGGTAGTGGTCAGAGTATTTTGTCATAGCAATGAAGAGACAAACTGGGACAGTTGCTGTTGCCCCCAAGAATCTGTTTTAAAACCAAGTCCTAAAAAGAAAATTGCTGAATACATATTCTTATATCTTTAATTTTATGGAAAGTTCTATTTTGGATTAAGTGATGATCTCTAATTTCAGTTTGTAGACTATATTATCAAGCCACATATTAATAAAGATTTCATTGAATATATTTTATAACAAAAATTGATGTCCAACAAAAAGATTGATAGTAAGTGAAATAGGATTACACTGTGTCCGCTAGCCTTACCCTTTATTGTCTCAGCATGAATTCAGTTATGGATTAATCTTATGTAATGACAATATTCATTTTTCTTCTAATCCTCCTTCTGAATATTACATCTATCTATCAATCATCTATCAATCTATCATCTATCTATCTTTTTTTTGTCTTTTTGAGACAGGGTCTCCTTGTAGCCCCAGCTGACCTGAAACTCACAGAGATTTGTCTGCCTATGTGTCCCAAGTGCCAGGATTAAAGCATGTGCAACTATGACCTGGCTTTCATTGATTTATCATCTATCTATCTATCTGTCTGTCTGTCTGTCTATCTATCCATCTATCATCTATCATCATCTATCTATCTATCACCTAACTATCTAATCTTAGGACTTTGGAAAGAAGCTTCTTTTCTAGGAAAGTGTTCATATTACAACATAAAGATTAGTAATAAATAATATATTGGTTCAATAGAACATTATAGATCTTAAAAT